GTCTAAGCTATAAATTCATAACTCGTTTAACTTATATGCAAATCCAGCTCTGAATATAATAAAATTATTAGAAAACATTTAAAAAATCAAAATAAAATGATTAAACTAGAAATAATTTGCATAAATTATCTATTTTTACATTTAAAAAGTAATGAAAATATTTTTTAAAATTCTCACAATGCCTGTTCTAAATAGTTGTTAATTTTTAATTTATTAACTTTTTTTTTTACAATTCTGATGAGAAATTTAAATGATTATCACAGTGATAAAGTAATTGAATATATTTTTTATAAATTTAAATTCTAGAAAGTGGAAAAACTTAAGTTATAGGCCTATAAAACATTATTACTGAAGAACAATTTAACATTAAACCCTGGATGATATCTAATTTATATATATATACAGTACATACATATATGTTTTTTTCTTATTTTTACTTACACTAACATAATGATTAAAAGGAATAATTGTATAGTAACCCTATTTAGATGAATTGAGATTCAAATCATAAAACCAGTCATCTAGAAAGATGTTTTTCAAGATAGCAGAATGAATGAGAAAAAACTGTAAATGATGATCTGGCTATATGATAATGGTTAAGAAGCCTATTGCATTTGTATTAGGTCTGGAATGAAGCCAAAAAAGTGAATATAACATCATTTGCTTCATGTTACAGAAGCAGAACTTTTAATATTCTTAATTGGATACATTAAAATATTAATAAGAAAATCATATCCTTTATTAAAATGTAAAGAAACAAAGATTAATTTACTTATGAATAAAAATAAATGTTTTCAAACAATTCCTCTATACAAAATTATGTTAAATAGTAGATAGCTTTATAAATTATAAACATTTTATTTTTTTAATCTTTTATGTTGTAGACTTAGCTTAATTATAGGTTTTACTTATTGTTAATTAAAGTATTTAATGAATGATTAATTAATGCATGTTAGGTGTATATTATAAACATTTTTTAAGGAAAAAAAATGAATAAAATTTAATAGATTTAAAAAGATCCTTTTTCCATCTTCTGCAAGTAAATTTATTGTTGTAACCTTATCAGTGACATTTGATAAGTCTGTAAACTCTTTTATAGCAGAAAATCCAACTTGCATAAACAATATAATTTATAGTCGAGTTTATAATGTCATTTAAGAATTAAGATAACGTTAAATACCTTAATAATGTATGTTTTTCTATCAAGCTTATAAAGATTGTAGATATTTTATAATAAATCTTTTCGATAAAAGTTAAGATTAGAATAGAATTTTACTTTTTCAGGTCTAGTTAATAATTTTGAATCTCATGCCGCTTGTATAAAAGGCATTCTTTACAAATTTTAAAGTTAATTTAGAGATTTTTCGATGCCAATTATGTTTAAATTTAAATAAATTTTAAGTTAATTTAATTTGAATTTTTATCTGCATTGTCATATTCAAGTATAGTCGTAAAGGCGGTATCAGGAACAGATCCGTGCGTTAAATTATTTTGTAGAGAAAATAATACACCTTTAAAGAATGTTTGGTTTATTTTTCTTCAATTAACTATTAGAAACATGCCAACAAATAAAATTTATAATAAATACTTATATTATACGTTTATTTAAGTATTTGTTATAAATTTTATACGCTCCTTCTATCTCCTGAAGATGCCTGTATAATATAGCCTATATTTATCTGCATTGCTGTTATAAGTTGTTGGTTAACTCAACAATTGAGATCTTATAATTTTAATAATATAATTATATTAAAATGCAGATTTTGTGTTAATTATAAATTATATTTTAATTTTATAAAATTCTGAAAAGACTTTTAAGGAATTGTTGGAAAAAACTACATATATGGATCTATATAAATTTCTCAAGTTGTTTATAGCTTATCAATGCATAAATACATAAAATTCTAGTTTTTAAAATAGGTTACTGATAAACAAAATCATTTATCATGGCTTAAAATTATATTTTGGTCCTCCTACTTGAAAACATTAATATGTTAGTTGTCTATCTAGTAGACTACTATAAAATCTGTTTTTTTAAAATGCCACATAATATATTTGAATAAAATTATCATATTAATGTAAATTGTTTAATTGATAAAAAATTAATTAAATTTTTATTTTAATTATTTCTGTAAACCTTTCAGAATTAAATATAATTACACTCGAACTTGGTTACAGTTATGACAACAATATATAGATTTCTAGTCATCAAACACAATTAGATTGCTTTCCAAATGAAGTATGAATTTTTAAAAATTTTTATATAAAAGGACACGAAGAACTTTGATCACACTATTATACTAATTCCTTGAAAAATAATATTGTCGAATTAAAATTAATTACAATATTAAAACATCTTTAAATGTTGAGACTCGACTTTTTATTATTATTAAATGGGGAGTTTCGGTATGTTTAATTGAAAGAAAAGAATTTAATTTAGAAGAGTTTGCAAAGAAAGATTACCAATCGACCCACACGATATTATTCTTAACGATATATTAACCTTTGACATAGTGTAACAGCGATTGTATTGCATTATCGATAAACCTCGGCCATCAGATCCTGTTATCAACGTTCTATTGTTTGTTGACATGTTTGATGACGTGGCACACTCCGATTGGTCGATGTTCCGGTCTGGCACGTGCCATCGAATGCACCCTGGTAGTGCCGCAGGCGTTCATCTCTAACCACGGTCGACGAATCAATGAGTTTGGCACGCGTCTAGCCACCACCCTCCTGACTGAAGCCGTCAAAAGACAGTTTCTGTTTCCATCACGATCTAAAACCAATACATTTGACAGTTTTCTATCGATGAAGGCGGACAGGTGATCGAAGAGTGTGGGAAACACTAACCAGCTACGTTCACAAGGTATGTATGCTGTTCTTTCTGAGGGACAAACGTGGGGAGGTGTAGCAGATGTTCCAGCACCTGTCCACAAAGCGGTGGGAAATGGAACTGGAGCCAGCATATGTTACAATGACACGTGGACACGTGGCTGACAGACGAACACTAAACTTTATGTATTTACCACTCGAAATTAATATAATTCTGATAATTAGGAAAATAATATTTCGTACACAATGCTACTTTAATATTTAACATTTTTACCAAGAAAAACAAGATTATATGAATAAATAAAATTGTTTACCTTTACCCATCATCTACGTTTATTCTTAAATATAAATGTATATAATAAAAAAGAAAATAAACATCAAATACCTAACATATCCTGAGATTTCTGATACAAAGTTTAAATGAATATGGAGAACAAAGCTTGTTATAGTAGTGGTTAGCGGTTCTGATTTCAATTGACTTTTAAACATTACAATGGAAACTGTTTGTGATTTTATCTTAACTCAAAATTTATTTTCCTGTAAGAATTTGTGAAAAAATGATTAAAATTAAAGTGAAATTTAAAAAAAATTATGTTATATTTAATTTAAAATATATTATTTATAGGTTGTGAATTAATTAGCATACTCGGCTCATCACTTTAATGTTAATTAATTAGAAAAGTTTTATTTTGGATAATTTAATCAAACTCTAACCGAGTTCGGAAAAGTTGGAGAAGTTTTTTCTTCTATTCCCAAAGGTTTTTAGTTCTGATTAGATTGCTGGAAATGGTTTCTTCGTTCTTTTTTTCTCTCTCCCCTTCAGAAAATAAGTGTTTCCAAATCGATTAGTTTTAATGGAAAGAAGATAAAATATAATTAAATATATATAGTATATATGTGATTATATTTTAATATAGTTAATTGGTAAAATAAATTTGGAATAAATGAAATAATTATCCTTAAAATTTGATTAATTAAAGTAAATTTGAAATAGGAGGAATACAGAAGCCGAAAGAAAGTTAGTCGAACAGGGATTTAGGTTGATGCGAAGATTAAAGCTCAGCCATCTGGCGAGCAAAGAAGCCACGTGCACCCAACTCCCCTGTGTTCTCCTTAATTAGCGAAGGCCTCCTATTTGCTTCTTGATTAGGTGACAGATGTTGAAGGTCAAGCTATACAGAGACAGGTGTAGGCGCATGCGTAACCGAAATCTTTTCCAACCACCCACAGTCAGTAGACAATATGGCGGTAACAGATACGCTCTAATCAAAGCTACTGCAAATAAACACGGGTGAGATTTTATTTCGTCGTTCGGTAATTGTCTTATTACAATATTTTAAAATTTTCACGAAAAACTTAAATCTTATATTAGAATATGGCGCAGTCGGTTTAAAGTACACTCCCCTCGATTCACCTGATCATCCACTTGCTAAGTGATATGTTGGAAAACGTGACAATTTGAATTGGCCAAAAGCCAATTCAAATATCTAACACACACCTGGGCACATTAATCAACAAGGAAATGCGAACAACTGATTCAATTGTTGATAGATGTGAATGATCAAATACTTGGAAACAAGTAGAAATGACCTTTTATCCTTCATTCGTGCCGTTTCCAAAACTGCAGAATCATCCTAGAAATCTCTTACTGCTTTCCAATGTGGAAGCGACATAAAAATAAATAATTGCATTATATTTTTCCTCTTACGTTATATTCTGTCCCAAAATTCTATTTTAATCGCCAGCGTATCAATTAAGCCAAATGTTAAGTCCAGCTTTCATCATCCTGTTTGTGGGTATTTGTTTTACTCGGACTATAATTGAGTAATTTGCAGGAAACTCTCGTTCACAACAAGGCAGTCAGGAAGTGTGGCATACACAGATAGGGGGTAGAGGGTAAAATATTTGTAAACAGGAAACAACCCAATATTTGCCAAGTAAAAGGTTCTAAGTAGACTGTAATTTATACATTTGGGAGAAATAAGTCGACCGTTTGTTTTATTGTTTTTTTAATTTGATAATACGGCCGTATATACGTTTAAGTGCTCGCTAGTTACTTAAAAGTGGTCAAAAATAACCATAAAAAGTCAGAGTTCGCAATAAAACTCTTCTGGCATTGCGTCGAGCTCTTTTGAAAAGCAACCGACCTGTTAATAGTCACTTAAGCAATGGTCATTTTATAAAATGGTTCCTCTTAAAAACTTCACAATGCGCATTGTCATTACTTTAATGTTCTTTCTAAGTACTTAATGCTCTTTTACTATTAAATGGATTGTGATTGAGATAAACTTATTTGTTTTATTTCTAGGCTAATTATAGGCTTAATGTTGACCCCTATCGAGTCCGAAAAGTTATTTTAAAGTTTTTAATCGGCGATTCATTTTTATTGCATTTTTTGCACAATTTTTGGAAAAAATTCCTGTTTCAGTCGGGAATTGCCGAATCTTAGGCGGCGCTCTTTTGACTGACAAGTTTCGTAACTATGGTAACCGACTGACTGACGCCAAGACGATGAATGAATGGCTTCGTGAGCAAGAATGACCTTTTGGCTTAGCTCGCCTGGCAGGTTGAGGAATATTTTTTAACACTTTAAGGTGTTGCAAATCAGTTTAATAGTAGTGAATTTATAACTCTTTCGCAATCCTTATCGGTTAAAAAACGACACGGGATTCAAGATGGAGTCGGACAATATTACGTGTGTATCTTAAATTACGCACGGAGTGGCTAATTACGGCTTTTAAGTAGACAATCTTGCCTGTAAATGCTTTAGCCGGAGGAGAAAATGAAAATTCCTTTTTATCAGGCATTCCTATTAAGGAGCCTCCTATTCGTGCGTCACCCAGCAGGTGGTACGACGGTAGCACCTTCGGCCAGGTGAAGATCAGCAGATGGAACTTTACGTGTTGTATGAGGTTATTTTCATCTGTTCTGTAGTCAACCTGCCTACCGAAGCCTGACTCCAGCTGGCCTGACGTGTGGGAATCTCCCACGGTTACCGACTGCCGAGATTTCACGTGTCCGAGCGTGAGAACCGCCCAATGATTGGCCACCTGCTTCTAAAGCCGGTGCTCCTCCCGGCTCCCTCTTCCGTCCAATAGAATCTCGTATCGTCTACTACGTCACGGCGCCTCCCGTCTGCTCTCCGCCGTGATAATAAGCGAGCTTAACGGGTCGGTTTCACCATTTCTAGCTCGCCCGGAGAACTCGGTGGTTGTATCTCGGATACGCTCTCAGTTTGTCGGATTTTTTCCCCGCAGAATGAAATCACACTGCGATATGTCTATCAAGAACATGGTGAAGAACAACAAAGTCAGGCCTCGCGAACGAGATGTGACTCAGGAAGAGATGCAGTCGTTGCTAGCCAAGTTAAAGGAGCTGGTACCCAATATGCCAAAGAATAAGAAACTGTCTAAGCTGGAAATCATCCAGTATGTGATCGACTACATCGCCGATCTTCAGATTGCTCTGGAAACACATCCTGTTACAAGACCATCTGTTTCGAACAGCAGCCCGGGTCGACAACCATTGGGAATATTATCGCCTTCTACGAACAGCGTTGTCAACACCTGTGCAGCTCAAGAGGTGAGCTTCCTTTTATTTTATTTCCTATTACATCTGCAAACTCTTAAAATATCTTCATTTAAGTACAAAAAATCCCGGAAATTTCTTAAAATCAGGTCAAGACGATAATCGCCGAGTCGTCAGACCTGCTAAACGAGATATAAAAACGGCAATCGCTTCTTTTTTTTTTTTAATTTATTTGTTTTCTAAAGAGGAGTTTTACTTATATTTCGTTCATTATTCTTTCAGGCTAGTCAGACAGAGAAGATACCGAGCCGTCTCGGAGATATGGTAGTAAGCACGCCAAGACCGGTATCTTGTTAGAAAATCACCTTTTTCGAATCTCCACCGCCGTTCGGTGTCCACTGGAATGTCCATTTATAAGGATAAATCCATCTGAACTAGTCTCCTATAGACATTTTTTAAGAGCCACGTAAAGGCTCGACGTCACTTTAGGCTTGTTCACTACTTACTGTGTTCAAAATATTCACTTTTTGAAGATCTCGTAAACACTATTGGTGCGCACGGCATACGAAAACGAAAAAAATACACATATATATATATATATATGAGAAAAAAAAATTAATGCTCCTGCGTTGAAAAAAGTGTTTTTAATTCGCAGTACCTGAGTTTTATGTAAATCTCCCACTTGTGGTAGATGAACGTGCAAAGCAAGCAATGAACGCTAATCTGTGATTGTGTGTTGTAAAAAAATACATTTGTAATTTGTATATTATTTTTCTTGTACATTTTGTATCTATATATATACATATATATATATACTTGTGGTTGGTGATAGCTGTCTCCCCACCCGTTTAATTGTCACAACAGAAAGTTGCATATAAAAAATTTGTGGAGAGTATTGTGATAGTAAATATTGTACCTGCAACATCAGGTTTTTTGTACAGAAATATCTCTGTTTATAAAAAAAAAATTAAAAGCAGAGTATATTAAAGTAATCTATATGGATGAATTTATTGTATTTTTTGTGTTTAGCATCCAATCGGGTCACGGTTGCGGCCTACATCGCGAGCAATTCATTAACGCAGATACTAAAAAGAATAGGTGCCGTGTTGTTCGGTGTACGAAAAAAAAAGGGAAAATTTAATCCGGATACTTTATCTTGTACACTCTTCCGTAGTAATTAGATTTAATCAGTGATTATTACATTATAATAATTATAATTTGTATTGGATTGTCGAGCGAGAAGCGATTACATCGCGTTTTAAAGATGGCGTTTTACATCTGTCGTACGACGTTGTAGGCCACGGAAATGGTAGTAGGTAGCCATTAGTCAAAATTTCTCATTGTAGTCGAACGTGTGAAGTTCAACATTGGCATATGGCAGACGCTACGTAGGTATGCACGTGCGTTGCAGGTGTGATTCTGCAAGGTCAGTGATAGTCCATTTTCCGTCTGCTTTAGGGATAAAGGGAACACGTGTGCGATCATGAGGTAGGGGTGCAGCTACACAAGAGAAAGAGTTGAGATATTCGCTTCTGCTGTCTGGGTTTATATTGTTGTCTGGAACGGTCGGAGACAAAATGTATCGAATTTCTCGAGTGCTATTTAATATAGTGTTTGATTGACAATACCAATTTTTCTACAGAAGCTTTATTGTTGTCCCGTAGATGGTTATCTAGAAAAGTAGTGTGAACGTGAATAGGGTAACATGATTTTTGTGAATATAAACTGGGCTTTCCTTTCGATGCAATCTCGTACTACATAAGCTAGCAGTTAGGAAATACAATAAGGCGTTTCTATCTTCCGCAGGGTGAGATTGCAATAACTAGTTTAGATATCTATTATTTTAATTCAAGGACTTTCTAATTAAAATTATGTACTAAAAAATATTACAAATGCTCGGTAATGGCTACGGTCGATGAATATTAAATAAGAACTGTTTATTGCTTCAAATTTAGATTTGTCATCAAAGCGAATATAGTTTACGAAAGGGAAATATAGTGAAGTAATCGTAATTTAACACCAGAAATTTCAGGAAATAAAACGTTCTGTGTGAATGAACACATTTTGAATGTATGGTGTAGTATGTTTGAATGGTTTGCTGCGAATTGTTGCCAAAAAAAAGTTGTGTAACCGCGTCAATAGATTCGGTTTCCTTTCATTTGCTTGGCGTAGTATCACTGAAATGGCACGAATACCAATATATAACGATGAATATTGATAACATTCGTTCATTCTACCAGAAAACAGAATAAAAACTTCAATTCATCGCCTAGTTGAATTGAGAAGATTTAAAGGTTTTTATTCGATCTATTTAAGTATTAATTAGCACGACTTTTCAATAAGTGCTATTCTTTGTTTTATTTCAACCAATGCTTTATTTATCAGGCCGAGAATATCGACTCGTTATTCATTAAATAAGGATCTAAATAATTGTCGGAATACTTTCAAAATGTGCAAACAAGCTGAATAATGCGATTTTTAAAAAACGCAAATCACTTATTTTCTTAAAAACGTCTTGTTTTTCATATAAACACTATACATAATACTACATATTCTATTTTTATATTGATTTATGAATTTCTGCCATTAATTTTTATCAAAAATAAATAAATTTGTCATTATGCAAACATCTTATAATACATTTTAATGAATCAAAAGTTAATTCATAATTTACACCAACAAAAATAGAGATGTAATTTATATTCTACTCTATTTACTATATAATTTAAAGTAAATTATAATTTAAATATATGCAAAAATAAAATATTAATACGCGTAAAAAAATCTTTTACGTGTCATTATTTATTAAAATAAATTTCTATAATTTTAATAAATATAAGATTGTGTTTTTTTTTTATTAATTTGCTAAGCACAATCATATAAATGATTCGGTTATTTTTAACTAAAATTTTGCATAACAGGTGAGTTCTACTAGACTAAGATGCTTAAGTTGTTTGTAGAAAAAAAAAAAAAAGTGGAATGAATGATAACGACTCGAGTCTTAGCCTACATAATATAAGCTCGTATTTTGTTATTTTCTCTTATTGTTAGTGTCACGTTGTTGAAGATAAGGCTACATTAAAAGCAAATGGCTGCAATAGTGCCGTTGTTAAGAACCATCACTGATGCAAGAGATTGCGCGGCTCAGAAGATTGCAGGTGGTTGAGAGTCACGCTTAAGTTCCCCTTATTCGTGCCAGATTGTCGTCCATATGAGTCAAAATAATCCCTGCTCGACTTGGCTTTTATTCCGGTTCACTTTTTTTTAATGTTAAATTAACAATTACGCGTTAAATCTTAACCATATAATTCTCTAGAATAACACGAATAATTTAAAGACATTTTTAAGTGAAATTTTGATTTTCTTTTTAATGAAATATATAAAAAGGATTAACTTAAAATATAGTTTGTATAGAAGAATTAAGGCTAATATTCTTTAAAAATTACAGGTGCATATCCTTTCTGCGGTGCCTTTTTTTATATTATTATTGTAGTTAAGTTTAACTTCAGTAAAAATTACAGGTTATTTTGTTGTAGAGTATCAATAAAGATTTGTTAAAAGATAAAGATTTCGATTATCTACAACCAAAAAAACAGGAGTTTTATTGGTCAGAAAACACACGAAAATAAAATAATAAACTGAAATTGCGTAAATAAATTTCATAAAAAGTAGCCTAATTAAGTTGAATGATAAACTTTTAATTATTTGTTTATTACTTCGATGTTGATTTGTACTTTATATTTTAAAAAAACTTTTTTGTTGGCGCTTATTTAATGTAGCAATTTGCACTTATCAGACCGAATCCCACGAAATATTTCATACATATTTCACAACAATTATAGCTTTGTTATATCCTGAGGTATATAAGTCGCTATTATAAAAACCGCAACCAGCATTTATTTAAAAACTTGTGATGTTTACGTTCTTTAAGATGTCACCTGAAATATTTATTGCTTAGAAATCGTTAGCATTCATAAAAAAGTAACATATCTATCTCAATCTAGTCTGTAATTGCAAAGAAGCGTGTTGCACCTGCAACACTTCTTTTGCCTGGGGTTGCCATCGTACTATTGCACCAAACCACCTGATAAACTTGGAAAATATAAATAGCGCACCAATGGAAATAAACAGAAATTCAACACTTTAGTATATTCGGCAGTAAATTAGCCCTACCCATTAATTTCCCGGAGGACGAGATTTTGTCTGTCTATCAAAAATCGTGGACCGGAACAACAACGTCGCCCACTGAATGGATAGACGAACCTATCTTTAACCAGATGAAGGTATTTTCCTTTCCACCAATCATGCCGTGGATGGCCAAGCGTGGAGAACTACGTGTCACGCTACCACGTGAGCAGGTGCATCGCCCTCTCATACCCGCTAAAAGCACCAGGTGTGCCCTGACTAGGAGGGTACGGTATGGCCAACTGCTAACTCGAGTCGTCTAATTGGATGTCTGGGAGTTGTTGGACGACGACACGAAGAGTTGAATGAAAAGTGGGATGGATTCGGTGGTCAAGGTCCACTCGAGTGCCGGTTATATCCAGTGGGTCCAGACTTCAAATTATATTAGCGCTAGATTCTGAAATAACAAAAGGCAAAGATTCTCTTCTCTCGTTTAAATGAATGACAGAAAAAAAAGGTTTCTCGACCGTAACAAATATCGAAAATCTGCATTTGCAACGTGACTCGATGGAAATATTATTTTAACCTATTCGGGTGCAATGCAGTTGAAACCATACGCGGCTACCATACATATAAACAGATTTTTTACATATATATATGGTTATATTTTGCGTATGTCTATAAAATGCGAGTATAAAAAAATTTAAATTTCACCTTGTTGCAATGGGGATTTCACCACGAAGCGTAAGGCAAGAGATTTCGTATAAAATTCTGGTAAATTGTGATCTAAATTGAAGCGATTCATATGCCTTTTCATATATATATTTAAGAAAATGATTTGTAGGAATAGACCTAAAAAATGACGTTTACTAATTTTCTGGGCATTCGATCCTCAGGTAATGCAAACTAATGAAGAAAAACAAAGACACGGACAAATCTATCCGAAATAAAACAACGTCTAGTTTTTACCTTAATAACCAAAATAAGATTTCACTTTATCATTGTCAAATTTGCAAGATTTTGTTTTTAGTCGACACTTCGGCGCAAACTTATCACTGGATCTATATTAAGAGCTCGGACTTATCTTAAGTTAATTCATTGTACGGTTTAAAAAAAACGCGACAGAACAGATATGAATTAATGTTTAAAGCAGAGGAAAGAAAAAAAATTTAAACAACAAAAACAAGAATTTGTGGTATTAATGCTTTTGGCAATTTCACGGGCCATTTCACTTACTCTCAGCTATGCATATTCAATTACTATTATCTTGTCATTTGACAAACTTAGTGAAATTCTTCATTATTTTCAATTAAATTCTTATGTTTATTTGAAATAATAATAATAATAATAATAAAGGCTTTTATATTTTATTAAGTAAAATAATAAAACTTTAATAATAATATTTTATCGCTTATACTTTAAGGTTTACTTACCTATCGCGCCGTACAATGTTTAATTTAGTATCTTTACAATAAAAATTCCATTATTTTAATTAATATAAGTTATAGAACGACATTAACGGGATTTAATGTTTATAAAAATAACAAATAGCTTCGGGTGTTTTATTAAAAATTCTCCTTTAGGGAAGGAAAATAAAGTAGGATGCAGGATTCAGGAATTGACCCGAGTGACATTAAACTGTAAACGTCATTGTTTTTTTTAATCGAGCCGAAAAAACAAAGAAGAAATAAATAAATATAAGACAAAATTGTTGATTTTTTTTAAAGAAACATCTCTCGAATTGAATAATAAAAAAGTTATTTATCTTAGAATTTATTTATAAAATTTACATTTTACTAAATTATCTTGACGAATATTGGAATTTCTACTTTAATTAGATTTTATGTAAATGTTGTAATTTTAAACCTTCATTTCCGTTAA